GTTTTGGCGGGAAAACACGTTTTTCCGATTTTGGCGGGAAAACACATTATGCGATTTTTGCGAGATAACACGTTTTTCCGATTTTGGCAGGAAAACACATTTTTTGCGGTTTTGGCGGGAAAACACGTTTTTTTTTATTTTGGCGGAAAAACACGTTTTTCTGGTTTTGGCGGTTAAACACGTTTTTACGGTTTTGGCGGGAAAACACATTTTTACGGTTTTGGCGGGAAAACAAGTTTTTGTGGTTTTGGCGGGAAAATACGTTTTTCTGGTTTTGGCGGGAAAACACGTTTTTGCCGTTTTGGCGGGAAAACACGTTTTTGCGGTTTTGGCGGGAAAACACATTTTTGTGGTTTTGGCGTAAAATACGTTTTTCGTGTTTTGGCGTAAAACACATTTTTGCGGTTTTGGCGGGAAAACACGTTTTTGCGATTTTGGCGGGAAAACACATTTTTGCAGTTTTGGCGTAAAACACGTTTTTCATGTTTTGGCGGGAAAACACGTTTTCCGATTTTGGCGTAAAACACATTTTTGCGGTTTTGGCGAGAAAACATGTTTTCGTGTTTTGGCAGGGAAACACGTTTTTCCGATTTTGGCGGGAAAACATATTTTTGCGGGAAACATGTTTTTCTGGTTTTGGCGGAAAATTTCTTGCAGTTTTGGCGGAAAAAAATCGTTTTCCGATTTTGCGGGGAAAGTCAATTTTTTGATTTTGACGAAAAAACTCGTTTTACAGTTCTGACGGATAAATTCATTTTTTTAGTTTGGAGAGAAAAAACAAAATTATGGTTTATTTAAAACATTAAAACAAAAGATATTGAAATAATGAAAAATATAATGTTATAAAATTAAAACTCATGGGTACCCATTACCCTCTTGTATTTACCCAATCTAATATGGATTTTACAGTTTTATATCCATGTTTAACCCAATTAGTTTTAGATGGGTAAAAACACAACTCATTATCAATGGATTTGGGTAAACTCATGGGTAATTACCCATATTAACATCCCTAAACATGATGGATCTAACCCTATACACCCTAGATCATCATCTAATCACTCTAATCACCTAAATCCATGAATCCCAAAGCTAACTACTCTCTAATCTCCATGAAAATCCTTAAACCTATATGAGAGTCAAGACTAATTATGATAATGAGCAAAAGAAAAAGAAATTTAGATGAAGAACTTTCTTAAATTGATATAAAGATTCAAGCTTTTACAATGAGATGCAAAGTTCTTGAGAGAAAATGAGATAAGATTCCCAAAAGAGATTACAAGAGTATTTATATGCTCTAGTGGAGACACAAGGTTTTATGACAAAAAGACCAAAAAAGTCTTGGAAAATAAGGTAAATTTCAAACTGGGCAATGCCAGCTCGGGTTTGTGGTCGAGGTTTGTACCCGAGGAGCTCTACCCGCACCAGATGTTAAATGGGTCTGCTCCTTGGCCGTGCGGGTACATGAGCCCGGGCTAGCCTACCCGCGCAAGATGGTCGGCGCTTGGCCTTGTGGGACACGCGGGTGCATCAATCCGGGGCTGGCAACCCGTGCTAGCTCGTCCTGACTTTGCCCCCACTATTTATTTTGTCCAGATTCCTGACCAATCTTCATTCTTTACTCCTTTTTGAACCACAATGCTTTCAAACACCTCAAATCATTCCATTGGACACTCCAGCACCTAATAAAACATATAAATGCAATATGGACCCTAAAGATGCCTAAATCCTAATCTATATGATGATTTATGTACACAATGAAATGATAAAACAATGCAAATATGCATGATATCAGGAAGGAGTCGAATTGTGGTTTCAGTGAAGCCACCTCTTTTGTCTCCCAAAACAGAAAATTCATGTTTTGGTATATAGATGTACTCAGGAAGAAACCAGTAAGGGACGGATACTCCGATAAAGCCCAAACCTGCAGGGGTTGGAGGGCATTCAAAAAGAAGATGATTAATTGACTCCACTGGGCCAACACATCTAGGCCAACTCCTATCGGTCACCAAGTGTCTATACGTGAGCCTCTCTGCTATCGCCACACAGCCCGAGATAGCCTGCCACCAAAAAAATGCTTCATCTTACTTGGGTCTTTTATCTTCCACACATGGATCTGAAGGTTCGTAATACTCGGTTCTAGAACTTCTTCATGTGAAAAATTCAACTTAGTCGATTGGAGTAGGTCATCACCGGTTTAACTGAATAAACTCTTGAGTTTGTGTGGTTCCAAACATATCCATCCAAATCATGAGACAGAAAAGGTTTTATCTCAAGTATCAAAGGGATATCTTCTGGGTGAAAAAAAATCCCGTAAAAGCTGTATATCCCACTCCTTGGTATCATTCATAATAAAGGACTGAACAAGAAGTTGGGATAATCTGTAAACAATGTGATTTTTGCAAGTCTAGGTGGTCGAGCTACTGAGCGTGGGACCCAAGACTCACTCCATACCCTCGTGTCTCGACCCATACCAATTTTTTTTTGTAAACCCGATATGAGAAGAGATTTTGCTGCCATGATACTATGCGATCCATATGATGGTGAGTATGTTCGTCGATCATCAAAAGGAGAGGTTCGTCTATAGTACCTTCCTTTTAAGACATGTGCCAGTAGGGAGTTCGGGTAATGGATTAATATCCACAACTGTTTTGCAAGAAGTGCTATATTGAATTCAGGAGATCTCGAAAACCTAGTCCCCCAGAATCCTTAGGGGTACAGATCTCGTCCCATGCTATCCAATGTAAACCTCTGCTGTTCTGTTTTGAGCTCCACCAAAAATTAGAAGTTGTGCTCCTTAGTTTATCGGTAATGCCTTGTGGAATCAAGTAACACGACATTGGAAAAGTTGGAACTGCTTGAGCCACAGATTTAACTTGAACTTCTTTTCCTCATTTGGAGAGAAGTCTCGATGACCAATTGTTGACTCGCTCATTGAGCCAATCTTGTATATAAGGAAACACTTTCATCTTTGAACCACTGATTTGTTCTGATAATCCAAGGTACATCCCCATGCCTCCTTCTCCAAGATCTCTTTTATATCATTCTTCAAAGAATACTCCACTCGATTTCCAAAAAAACATCGAGAATTTTGACGCATTTAATCTTTATCCTGATGTTTTCCCATATGTGTCAATAATGTCTATGATCTCCTTGCATTGGCTTAAATCTGCCTTACAAAAGAAAATAATGTCATCCGTGAAGAGGGGATGAGATATCCTTGGGCTCGCTTGCGCAACACGGAGACCGACAATTTTCTTCTCCGCTTCTGCTCCATTTAAAAGCGAGGTCAAAGCCTCTACACAAGATAAACAAAAAGGGGAAAGGGGGTCTCCTTGTCGCAAATCCCTACTTGGAAAGATCCGCCCTCTTGGTTGCCCATTGACTAAAACTTGATATGAGACCGACGTGACACAACACATAATGAGGTCAACCAGTCTTTCATCAAAGCCCATCTTCACCATCAAAGCTGCTAGGAACTTCCATTCCACTCTATCGTAAGCTTTGCTCATATCTGTTTTAATAGCCATAAATTCTTTCCCACACCTCTGGTTTTTCCGTAAGGCATGAAAATTCTCTTGTGCTATCGAGATGTTATCAGTAATCAAACGTTTTGCCACAAAGGCAGATTGTGTCTCTGAGATCAAGCGTGGAATAACCCTCTTAAGTCTCTTGCATAAGAGCTTAGATTAGATATAATTTTGTAGCTAACATTGCAAAGACTAATAGGTCTGAACTCAGTCATGTGTCAAGGTTTCTTATTTTTAGGTATGAGGCAAATATTCGCCTGGTTCAAAAGTGGGTCAAAACTGTATGTCGCAAAGAAATCTTGTATGAGTCTAATAATGTCTTGACGCATCTCACGCCAGAATTTCTGGAATAGATTACTAGTCATGCCATCCGGTCCGGGTGCTTTGTCTGGGCTAATCTCAAATAAGGCTATTCTAATTTCTTGTTCTGGCGGTTTCTCTAAAGGTAACCTATTGTCGGCACTGGACACCTTCTCTGAGATAAAACAGAGGGATCCGTCTACTTCGGTCGGCACAGAGGTAGAGAAGGGATCACGAACTATTCAACAGCCACATTCTCTACTTCGATTTCACTCTCTACCAACTTTCCATGCTTGTCTTTAAAACTGATGATCCGACTTTAGGCCCTTTATTGTTTTGTAATAGCATGATGGAATTTTGTATTTCTATCCTCATATTTATGCCACTGTTGTTTGCTCCCAGAAAGTGTTTTCTTCTCTAAAAGATGATATCAACTGTCTTTGTAGTTCCTCCAGCTCTTCTGTCGTAGAATTAGCATCATCTTGAGTCAAAGTCTAGCTTATCTTTTAGTTCTTTAATCAATGTAGCGGAATTTGTTGGGTTTCGCTTCTTCCAGGAACTAATTCTATTTCGACATGAGGTAACTTTTTGATGAAAATTCCGCATTGGTATTTCATCTAATTGTCCCCATCCCAAGATTACCGCTTCCTTGAACCCTGGTTTACCAATCCATCACTTGTCGAATCTGAAGTTATTCCTCGTCCTCCTAACACTAGATTGAATCCGTGCTAGGATCAGTCTGTGGTCCGATCTCCATAATTGTAGGAATTCTACAACTGAATGGGTAAATAACGCATGTCATTCTTCGTTTGCCACTGCTCTATCAAATTTACATTTAACTTTCCTGAATCGTCTTTTTCCTACCCACGAGAATAAGTTTCTTTTGTATGGGAAGTCAAGCATTCCACAATTATCTTAACATGATTCGAAAAGGGAGAAAAGAGCTCTCTAAACGTCGTCTTCCTCCCCTCTTCTCATGATTTCCCGTGATTTCATTAAAATCTCCAATCATAAACAAACTTTACTACGTGTTGTACTCATGCGTGACAATCTTTCCCAAACTTGGATTAATAACAAAAGAAAGAGTTTCATGAGTACATTTTTAACTTAAAAACAACAATAAATAAGTAAAAAAAAGACTGGTTTAATCCAAATAATCAGGGGGGGGGGGGTGGAAGAAAGGTAAATTGATTTTAGATTTGACAGAAGCATAAACGTGTAGAGATCTGGATCAGTCTCGTAGAGGACAATGTCACCATGGTGTGGTGGAAGAAAGGTAAATTAATTTTCGATTTGACAGAAGCATAAACGTGTAGAGATCTGGATCAGTCTCGTTGAAGACAATGTCACCAGTGTGGTGAAGAAAGTTTAATTGATTTTTGATTTGACAGAAGCATAAACGTAGAGATCTAGATCAGTCTCGTAGAAGACAATGTCACCAGTATCACTGACGTAATGATCTTTCTTAATACTTGCTACCAAACTCTCCACCAAGTGGATCGGTATTGCTCCTGAGGTTTTTGGTTCTCTGTAATATCTTCCCAACACATGTTTAGCTGCTTTCGTCTGTCACATATAACATACCATTAATTAAAACCCCAAATTAGTAACTAATCGCCCTTTAATCAAATGATTTAGATGAAGTAGAGAGAGAGAGAGTGAATGTGAGATGACTCACAGCATCGACCAAGTGATAGTGAGGGATTTGGGGGAAAAGATGATGGATCACGTGAGTTCCAATGTCGTGATGAATGTTGTTGAAGATTCCGTAATCTCTATCAATAGTTGTTAATCCTCCACGTAAGTAACTCCATTCCTATTATTGTACACAAAACATCAAGATTTAAGATTAATCAAATACTTAAATACTCGCAATAGTTAATTAAATTACCTTGCCTCTGTACCAAGGCAACTTCTCATCATGACCATGGTGATGCAAGTAAGTGACGGCGTCCAACCACATCACAAAGATCTGAAATTTCAAAGATTTATGTCAAAAACAAATTATATATTTTGATAATAATAATATTTATAATATTTTTTTTTTTTCACTAGCAAGTTTTTAATATTATAATGGGCCAAAACCCATAGGTAACAAGCCCATACAAATCCAAAAAGGCAACAAACGCCTAAACCCTAAAAACAGAAACACATGACATACAAATCTACTACGCCGCCTCCGGGAAAACATCACCGGAACCATGAACGGCGTTTCACCGGACCACACCGGAAACAGCCTACTGCGAATACCTCTTCCTTTCCTTAGCTTTTGTCGACAGAGAGCTTCATCGAGTTTACTCGAGACCTCATCCTTGACACGAAGCCACCATTCCAGACACCTACAAATCATCATCAACACCTCAGGTTCCTTCATCTATTTCTCTATATCCATCGGAGAGCTTCCATCAATCTAAATCGAGATCTCATCCGGAACAAACAAGCCTCAAACCACAAATCATCAACCACCAACACATAGCCGCCGTCGACCGAAAGATACTGCGACGCGGAGCCTTAAACCGACCGTTTACCTTAATCGAAACAGGTACAACGACGGTAACTAGAGCCGAACGACCACCAGATAGAAAGTGCGCCGTCGGAAACAAACAAAAAACTAAAAGAAAGGACAATCTACCAGAGGACACTAACAAGAACAACTATATAAAAAAGACCTTGAAAGCTAAAACCCAGAACAGAACAATCAAAAAAGACTCGGTTACAATGAAACCCGTCGCCACAAAACCACCTCTCGATCCATATAGTTGCGGCCGGAAACCACTGAGAAACCTTCACCAAGCTCAGATCTAACGAGATCTAAGTTTGTTAAGTCAGATCTGATTATTCATAAAGAGAAATGGTTCTTGCTCTCACAGATCTAAGAACTTACATAGAAAAAACTAAAGACAATAAGCTTTCCCCTCACGGATCCTACACGGTAACAGAAAGGCACCGTTCACCGGAGGGGAAAGAGAAGATCGCTCACTTTTTTCTTTTTTTTTTTCTCCGTAACGGAAATTAATTTTTGACGATTAATAATATTTATAATAATAAATCCATTTTTTGGAATAAATAAATGATTTTATGATATACTATGAAACTTACGATGTAAGGAACACCGTATACTTTGAGAACGGTGACTGGTCCAACGAGGAAGGAAAGATAGATAAGAGTGGCCAGCATTATGGACCAGCAAGTAGTTGAAGTTGCAATAAGCTTTCTCTCGCTCGGAGCAAATAAATTGCTGTATGAGTTAAAATGTGATCCTTCTTTTCCAGGACTTCTGTACCACTGCAGTAAACCCAAACCATAAACAAATATTATTTTATTAGTTTAAAACACAATCTAAAATGAATTGTAGTAAACTGTAAGAAAATATTTTAGGATTTTATACCAGATAGATCGGGTAAGCGAGCATGGGGAGAGGAACAGTGTATCTGAGCATCCGAGTACTGTGTGGTAAATTCTTGTATAACTTTTCTGGTAACTGAAAGAAACAATTAGAATAAATTTTAGTAATCAAGATTGAAGTACTTGGAAAAAAATGCTTACAATTGTATTTGTACCCTTTTCAAAAAAAAAAAAAAAAATATATATATATATATATATTGGTTGTATAAATTCGTTGCATGCTATGTGTTTATAAGCTTTTATTTAATTGTTGTTGGTTTTTTTGTCAACATTATTATTGTTGGTTAGTTTTCGAAATGCAAACTATTATGGAAACGCCAAAACTGAGAAGGAAAATTAAATTTACTACAGCCAAAAAAACAAATCGGACAAGTGGTAGTTCCGGCCTCAAATTGATATAAACTACTCCATAAACATGTAGATAGAACACTGAATTAACGGAACTTCGATACACACATTGATATTTTGAAAAAGACAAATAGATATTATTAAAGAGGGAAAGGTTACCGGAACCCAAGACTCGTCGTTCTCAACATGGCCATGGTTCTGGTGATGTGTCCGATGGCTTATTCTCCTGCATCCCCAAATTATTTTCTTAAATATGTATTTTAATATAAATTAAATTGTCTATATTGTGTTGCTTTCATGGCAGATTCTAACAACCTCACTATTTTTTTTTGTTAACAACAATCTCACACTTTTAAGTTATATGAACATAAATTATTTATGTTGTCGTAAAATTTCATATGGGGTAGTGTGTTGAACTCAAATCCTTTCTCATAAAGTGTGTTAGTTCGAATCCTCCTCCTGCATAGGTCTGCTTTCATAATTTGTTCTTAAAAAAATTATTTATGTTATCAGGAATAAGTGACAAAAAAATTAAAATAAAAGAAGTGACAATACTGTCGCAGGAAAATAATGCATGTAAGTCTATTTTCAAAGATATTTGTAGATGATTACATTACCAAACAATTTTTTTATAATGGTAATACATAAGACCACGTTTATGGGAAGTTTGAAGACAGTTTCTTATTATTAGAAATGAAACAATAGAAAGAATAAAAGAGAAAATAAATAATTTCTCAATTCAAGTGTTATAAAAAAAATTTCTCAATGAAAAACTCATGAGTAATATCAAATTTTCAAAAGAAAAAAATGAATAATTCTTAATATTTTATTATAAATAAATTAAATTCAAAATACTAATGACCATAAATAGGTCCATAGCATTTAATAAAAAAATGTTTTTTTTCTTTGGTTGCTAAGGATTTTATGCTTTTCAATATATTTTTTTGCACCAAGATTTTATGCTTTTCAACATAAAAAACTGATGCTTTTCGACAGGAATTAGACAACCTCCTCACATACTCAGTAACTCAGATGCATTATTTAATTATAAAATTGCTTCTAGCCAAGAAAAAAGAACAAACAGTTAATTTTTTTAAAAAAGAAATAGTTAAAAAAAAAAAAAAAAAATTTGACAAAAGTTTAATAAAATTTTCAGCTATCAAATTACAGTTTGCTAACATGCAGCCAGAATAACAAATACGAAAACAAGTAATAACTTCTTTTTTGGGCAAATAAAAAAGTAATAACTTCTTTTTTTTTGGCAAGTAATAACTAACAAATATAAAAAAACCCTTTGATCAAAAACAAACATAAAATAACAAATGTTAAATAAATTGTCTTACCAACCATGGTAAGGAACGAGAATGAAGGAATGAAGAATATGACCAACAACACTATTCAGCAGTGGAATGTCTGAGAAACTCCCGTGTCCACTGCCATTATAAAATTCAATTTCACATCATTATTCATCTTAAACACATTTATCAATTAATGCACTATTTAAACGGTCCATGTTTGTTTTGTTTTAATTCAAACGCTTCAACAAGGTAACAAATTCGGTGTATGACGTGTCACATGCCTAAGTCTCGAAATAGATTGGATAAAAAATAAACAATATATTATCTTTCTTGTTTAAGAAAAATACTATATATATCCTTGATATTAGTATGCTGTTATTTAAGAAGATCCATAAAATGCGGAATCAGTAAAAATTATAGATGGTTTTGTTACGAGTCGTACGACCGATGGATGCTGGTGGTGGAAAAGAAAAATCTAAAACAAAAGAAACTTAGATCAAAAGAATAAGTAAATGTTAATAATCGAGGCAATGCAGAAGAAACTTTACCAGTCGTGGCCGAGGACGAAGATGGCCCAGAAAAGGGTTCCTTGGGCGGCCCAATAGAGAAGCCAGAGGAACCAGCTATCAATATACAAAGCAGCGATGGCCAGAGCCGTGACGGCGCAGATGTCTCTGGCGACGTAGCTCATAGATCTCAACGGACTCTTCACCCAACAATGCTTAGGAATCGCCGCCCTTATATCACCGATCTTAAACGGTGGTTGCGCGCTCGGATCAAACCCTTCTTCCTTCCCGGCACGAGAATCTCCGTTCACATTGGAGCATTGGTCCATACCAACAACCATCGTGGTAGAGAGAGACAGATTTGGAGAACGATTCTCTCTCTATATTTTCAAAAATAATGGGTGGGCTCTGAGTGAAATGTGGTGAAGAGAGGGTTTGATGTATTTTGGGGTCTGTGAAGCTTGTTTATATAAAGAGGAAGGATTATGTGTAGACACTAGGGCTGCTTATCATTACTCGATACTCGCCTTATATCCATTATTTGTCCCGTATTCACTTTGAAAATTTAATTATTTGGTGTTGCCAAATCGAGTAGCAAGTCAACAAATTTCATTACGGGTAAGGATAAGGCAAATATCAAATATCATTTTATTTTTCAATACTTGCCTCCTTACTTATAACTTGTTATACAAAATGCTTGTGACTTGCTAAATAATATTTGTTACTTGCAAAATATTATTTGCATTATTATTGCTTGCATTACAAGAATTTTTTGGAGTATCGAAATAAAATAATGGAAGAACAATAGGTTTCATATGTTAATCAATATTTCGTAAGTTTATTTTCATTATTTTCTATTTATGAGAATTTATATGCTTTTTGGAGGTTAAAATTTAGAATATATGTTTTAATTGTATGTTCACTTAGATTATTCGCAAGTAATTAAGAAAAAAATACTTGATTTGGTGAGTAACAAGGTAAGTCAAGTGGCTTGCAAGTATCAAAAAATTTGTAAGTATCTGACAAAACAAGTACTTGTTTTAAACAAGTCAATTACAAGTAATAAATAAAAATACTTGATCAAGCCAAGGCAAATAATAAGTAACCTAAAAATGGTAAGTACCTGAGATACTTCAAACTGTTTTGTTTTTAATATTTATAGAATGAAAAGGTAATTTGCTGTAATTTTTATGCAATGGTGTTTTTTTAGAGACTTCTGCTAATTTAAATGCCGGAATAAAATACAGATGAGGACCAGCTCAACATTTATTTGGACCCGGGATAAAAAATTTTTTAACTCTTAATATTTGTGTTTATTGAAAATTTAAATGAAGTTTAATATTTTATCATCTATGTCTTTATAAAATTTATGATGAAAACAACTATGTACACATAATATATTTTAGGACCTTCTTCAACTAAATTTAGTGACTATTTAATTTTTTCCATAAAATATGTATATATAAAAATATTATACCCCTTAATTAGTATTCCTTCTGTTTCATAATAAGTGTCACTTTAGCTTTTTAATTTTTTTTCAAAAAAATGTCATTCTATATCCCAATATAATTTGGTACATTAAATCTATTTTTTTACCCATTTGAATAACTAATAGTATTTACTTAAATTATTTTCATTTAATTAAACATACATTAAATAGGGATATATTAGTCTATTATACAACTTTCTTAATTTAGGTGCAAAATGTCAAAGTGACACTTATTTAGAAACAGAGGGAATAAGATACGAGAGAGCATGATTTCGGACCTAGGACGGTCGCACTGTTTTTCCCCCATCTTAAACGATCTTGATACATACATCCCTCTATATATTAATTGAGAAGACAATTAATTAACTTTTATTTATGTGTTTTAAAAAATTATTATAATTGAATAGATTGATGACTTTTTATTATTTATTTAATCAGATCTAATAATAAAATATAATTTTAAAACTGATTAATATACCAAATAACACAAGTAATATTAAAAATGATTTATTGTAACTAATTTCGAAACACTGAAATAATATATAATGATTCATCAATTTTTTTTATCAGTTATTTCTATATAATTATATTAAATACTTTAATTTTTTATAGAAATAAATATAATGTTGTTATAAAACTAAATAAAATGGTATATTCTTATATAAAGAATTAGATTTGTAAATATAATGACATATTCCAAGAGCAACTAATTTAATGGCGGACAAGCTTGCACTAGGTGCTTGATATTCCCCTTCAGTTGTATTCTATGTCGACTCCATGTCACCGGTTTGGTTCTCCGGACCGGCTGGACATATTTCATAGTTTAGCTTATTGTTGTCAAAAAAACAAAATTTGATTTGTAGGTGAAGAGTTATTAGATTTTTTTCTGTTTTTAAAGACCATATATTATTTATCATTTATAAAGATTTTGAAATTATTTATAACCATTTAAAAACATTTTTTGCCTTACGAAATCATTTTAATAGAGATTCTAAACCATTTATAAAACTTTATTAAATCTTTTATAAAAGAAATTTATAAGACTTAATATTTTTCTTAAAACTGTTTGTAAATACTTTAAAAATATTTATAATTGTACTAATATAGATTTATAATGATTTATAGTTCCTATATAATTATTTAACATTTTTTGTTTATACTATTAAAATATGAGATATTTTTTGAGGTGCCTTTGGTTTTTGTTTTCTATCAACTTACAACAAACTCATGTAAACTCTCTGGTAACTTTCCATCCATGTAAACGAGAAATGAGGATTTTTTTTTGGCACTGCGTGCTAAGCTATCCGTCCAGAAATTCTGCGTTCTTGGTACACAGATGAGCTCTGAGATAATGAAGTTTTCCTTGAGCGTCTTATATCTTCCGAATACGTTACATACTGGCCATTAATCTGGTACTGAAATCATCTTCATCGATTGAGAACAACACTGTTGCAAAAATGACATGAAACTAACGCAAGTTCCTCATACTTTTCATTGCTCATATTAATGCTTCCACCTCAGAGTGGAGAGGCGAAAGGTTAACTCTAACGTTTCTTGCTCCCATCAGACCAACAAAACCTTCAAAGATACTACACCAACCTTGGCCAGAAAAAAATTCCTTATATTTCTACGAGCCATATGTGAAACACCACAGTCCTGGTATGGAAGGCTTGTTCGTTACCTCCTCCATGTTGTGTTGTTCTCTGTAACTGTACCACTTGGGCCTCAGTCCAAAGAGTTAATTCTGTCTCCGCTACTTTAAGCGTGGTCCTAGGATCAACATCCAAGTTACTAAAAGTCTTACTATTTCGTTCTTTCCAAATATACCATAATATGCACATAAACTGATGATCATTCATTGTTGGAAAACTCGCCAAAATAAATTATCCATATTTGTGAAAAAAGCACCAGTGGTAAAAAAATTCTGGATAGAAGGTGTTTTAACAATGCCCAAACTTGACGTGATGGAAGAATTCAACGAACATGTGGTTGATTGATTCTTCGTGAGCTCTGCATCTAGCACAACACGGTTCTCTGTGGATTCTCTCGCTTTCAGATTTTTCTTAACAACTATACACCCCAAAATCAGTTACCTTAAGAAGTGTTTTTTTTTTTCAGGGGGCACCGTACCTTCCAGCAAAACGTTTTCAATAAGTGCAGTATGGGTCCCAAAAATCCAGGTGGTTTTTCTTTGTCCGGGTGTGTTTATTTTACTTGGTACCCAGACTTGATCGTATATTTTTCATTCTTAGTGAATGCCATCCATCTTAATCTTCCCTTTGAGTCCTACCAAGTGGTATACCAGCTATAAGTTTTGTGTCCTGAGGATCTACTAGAGCCCTAACTGTCTGCATGTTCCAACTTCACGAATCTATATTGATGAGAGAATCCACCATAAGTTCTGGATAAAGGTTGTGCTGATTTTATTTGATGGTCTCGGGTGAGTGGTTGGGAGCCATGGATCATTCCATGCAGATATAGATGATCCTGATCCCACCCTTTTAATAAGTCCTTTACTAACCATAGATCTAGCAGAAATCATACTCCTCCAGCCATATGATGGAGAGTATGATCTGATCGGTTCTAGGACTGATGTATTCCTATAGTATCGACCTTTGAAAACTTGAGAAAACAAAGTATTTGATTTCTCTATTAGACGCCATAATTGCTTGCCGAGCATAGCGTATTAAAATCCTCAAGATCTTTAAAACACAGACCTCCTTCTTCTTTATTTATACACAATTTGTGTCATGATTTTCAATGCATTCTTTTTGTGCTTCCCCTAGGACTCTGCCAAAATTGTGCTACTGCATTTGTCAGTGTCTTTGTAGTTGCCTTAGGTAACCGATAGCAGGACATCACATGGTTTGGTAAGGCCGTAACTACAGATTTGCTAATCACTTCTTTGCCTCCCTTAGTGAAAACCCGAAAAGTCCACCCTTTAACCCTGCTATTTAAGTGTTCTTGCACAAATTCAAACACTTGTATCTTATATCCGCCAAGACTCTCTAGTAATCCCAAATATGATCTCATACCTCCTAAATTCTGAATTCCTAGAATATCCCTTAATTCTTAACGACTTGATTCCTCATCTTTTGTCCAAATTAAACTGGAGACTTTTGGATATTAATCAATTTTCCCAAAAAAGCCTCATATTCCTTAAGGATTCTGAAAATAGTCTGACACTCTTCTCGTTTTCCCTTGCAGATAAAAGTTTGTCATCTGCAAAAAGCATATAGGAGATCAATGGACAAGCTCTAGCAACTTTCATCCATGTTAATTGTTTTTGTCTCTCTGCTTTAATAATATTTCTAATTCAGTACACATAATAATTAAGTAAGGAGATCAAAGATCTCTTTGTCTTAAGCCTCTATGTGGGATAATGAGCCCACAAGGTTGACCATCTAATAAGACCCGATATTGAACTGACAAAATGCACGCCAACATAAGATTAATCTAATGAGGATCAAAGACCATTTTGTGTAGTAGTACCTTAATGAAATCCCATTCCACCCTATCATACGCCTTACTCATGTCTGTTTTAATTGCCATAAACTTCTCATGGCAAGATCTATTATTCCTTAAACCATGAAAAATTTCCTGAACGATAAGAATATTATCTGAAATTAGCATACCCGCCACAAATGCAGATTGGGTTTCTGATGATTTCTGGCAGGCAGATTTTCAGCCACTGACATAAAACCTTTGAGAAATTTTTATATCCAACATTACAATACTTATCAGTCTAAATTTCGTCATCCTTGTGGGTCTCTTCGTCTTGGGAATCATACAAATATGAGTATGTTTAGTCTTGAATCAAGAACCCCTGAAATCAAGAAATTATTCACCATTTCTACCAAATCTTGT